GACTGTGATGGACTTGCGACTGTGATGGACTTGCGACCTGTCCAGGGTGTACCCCGCCCCTCGCACTGTGACTGCTGGATATGGGCACCAGTGACCCACGCGACCCTGAAAAGGAAGAAGCGTGTACAGGAAATGGATGGATGGAATATACCTCTCTTTATTGTATTTTTAGGTGTATCATAACATGGTCTATTCCAAATCACAAAATTAACAATTTCCTGTATTATTTTTTTCCTATCTTAAACAATGTGCTGTTCAACTCAGTATGTCCAAATTGTAGTCTTGATATTATTGTGTCTTCTCTCATGTTTTTCCCCCATCCCTCATCTCTCCTACTTTCTTTTGTATTTTAAAAAACATCTTCCTTTATTCTCTTTTTCCCATAGATTTTGCCATCTTTCCTTCAATTTCTGTTTAATGATGTTCTTAATTTCTGATCTACTGACATTAATTTCCATATCAATATGTTTTGTAGCTTCCTTTGCTGTTTTGTCTGCCATTTCTTTCCCATTTATCCCAGTATGTGCTGGTATCCATAAAAAATAATATTTCAGACACATAATACTTAGAGCTGATCTTACAGTCTCATATACCCTATTGGTTGGTTGGTCTCTTCATAGACTGATCTATTTATAGCCTCACATACCCACAGAAGCTCCTCAGGATCATGGGTTGCAGCTGCGCTCAATCAGGACTGTCGGCCAGTCAGGGAAACACAACCTCAGGGAAAGCAGGTAAACACAAAACACAGAATCCTACAATTTCAACTTCATGATTGGGGATTTGCTTCTCCGATATGTGAGATGTCCAATAAGATTTTCAACTTCATGTGTTTGAGATTTATTCTGAGACCAAATAAATCAAAACAAATGATTAATGATTAATTAACTTTTATTTAGTGTCAGCTTTAGCACAAATGGGAGGCAACGAGCTACAAGAAGTTCTTTTGAAGGTTTGCTTTATGTTTACAATGTTGTGATGTCAAATCCAGATATTGCTGGATTGTTTTAATTCATCAGATAGGTTTAAAGCAGGACAGACTTTCCTAGAGGATATTAAATACAATGTAAAAGTCACAGCCCTTTGCTTTATATGAGTCATCTCTTCAGAGGGTCTGTCTACAGCACACTCATTGATAAAGAACTGAAACATTCAGTAAAAGAATGACTACTTGTTTTCTTTGTTTCATGATTTTGTCTTGCGAGATCTCTCCATCCTGCCCTGCATCCACCTGCACATTCTAATGAGGTGATCGCAGCCCTCAAATACCAGAATGTGATCACATCACATGCCTGGCCCATGTCTACACTTTCCTTTCTTTGTTGGTTTGCAGCTTAACACACACACACACACACACACACACACACACACACACACACACACACACACACACACACACACAC